ATCCTGTTCCAGAATCGTTGACTTTTTGTATTTCGGAAAAATATTTTGCCTAACAACACAAGATTATTGCAAAATTATTTTTATTCATAATGTTTCCACTCGGAATGGCAAGCCTCGTTCAAATAGTTTAGAAATATCAACTTTTAACTGCTTGTGAAGTTGAAATTCCAACATACTTCAACAGAGTTTGAGAGAGAGAGAGAGAGAGAGAGAGAGAGAGAGAGAGAGAGAGAGAGAGGGAGAGAGTGGGAGGGAGAGGGAGAGAGAGAGAGAGAGAGAGAGAGAGAGAGAGAGAGAGAGAGAGAGAGAGAGAGAGAGAGAGAGAGAGGAGAGAGAGAGGGAGGGAGAGGGAGAGAGAGAGAGAGAGAGAGAGAGAGAGAGAGAGAGAGAGAGAGAGAGAGAGAGAGAGAGAGAGAGAGAGAGAGAGAGAGAGAGAGACAGAGAGAGAGAGAGAGTAAGAGTGATTGAGAGCTAGGAGGGAGAGAGAGAGGGGTTGTGGAGCAGGAGGATACAGAGCGCTATTGCTTGTGAAATTGAAATGCCAACTTATAATATTATCACATTTATCTTCAAATAAAAACAATGTTAGGCAGAGAAAGCTGTTGATATAAAGTTTATTAAATAATTCCGGATATATCAGTGAGCTTATTACGAGTTAATAATAAAATGTGATGTTTGTTATTGATCCACTGAGAGAGAGAGAGAGAGAGGAGAGAGAGAAGAGAGAAGAGAGAAGAGAGAGAGAGAGAGAGAGAGAGAGAGAGAGAGAGAGAGAGAGAGAGAGAGAGAGAGAGAATGACAGGATGAGAGATTAATTAACATATATCATCAACAATTTCATCAGCATCAACAACACTTTCACTACCATTAGGAACAGTTGCAGTGACATCAATAACGACCAGAACATCATTATCATCAAAAAGCAAATCATCAAAATCTTCATCATCAAAAGCAACATCAAGAGAAAGAGCAAAAACAGCAACAAATTTAATAACTGGACCAATATGATCAAATACAAAAGTAAACATCAGTGTGGGGGGGTTTCTACTTTGCTTTCCCGAGAGCAATGCGTACGTCACCAATGTAGACGTGGCAGACGCTTCACGAAGCTGTCGTAATCCAGCAGAGAAAATACGAGAGCAACCGTACAGTGCCTGGGAGCAAGGTCGAGTTAGAGTCCTTGAGGGCCTCTTCTCAGACTAGCCTCACCTGGTCCTGATCCACGTTGATCGTTGGACTTTCCTCAATGCTTGAAACACTTTAAGGGCCTCCTAGGGTCCTCATCACATTTATAGTTTAGTGAATAATAGGCAACTCGGTGTTGAAGTATTTAACCAATAGAAGTATTTAACGCAACGGCAAAATCTAAATCATCTGTAACAGTAGCAACAGTAGCGTCATCAACAGCATTTTCAATAGCAACAGTAACAGCATCAACAGCATCTTCAAACGCAACAGCATCAAGAGTATCTTCAAAAGCAGCAGCAGCAGCAGCAGTAGCATGGTAGCTAAATATATTTCTAACAATCTATTTTAGTAATAACTTGGTAATTCTTCACTCCTTATTCCCAATGAATCAAACTTTCCCAATAACACACCCAAAACTTAGTCATCATATATGCATTATTTTTCCAAACTACGTCATCTTAAGACAAAAAAATAATCTTGGAAAATTTGTAGATATTTCTCATAATATTGAATAAGCCCAAAAAGGAATGTAATATATATGCAAAAGTCTTAATCACATCATTTGAGTGTACATATGTGCTCCGGTGCTCCGTTTCTTTGACATCTATTGGTTGCCCAGGTGCCTTTAAATTTAATGTAAATCAGTATACTTAATTGGTTTGGGTTCCATTCCCAAATGCATATATAACCAGCGCGCATATTCAGCGAAACTGAATAATGTATGGCAGGTGTGGTACGGGAGACTGTGCCTGATTTACATAATGTTTTTTCCCACTTTCAAAGGTGTGTTACATAGAGTTAATTCTCATTCTCTCTCTCTCTCTTTCTCTCACTGAAATAAAAGCTACATTAAATATACTTTAGCAAGAATATGGCAACGTTAACTTGATCTAATTGGTTAGACTTGATTTTCAAGCAAATTTCTCAACTTGATTAAAATCAATAGAAGATATTTCAAGCGCTGAAGATCACAATGAAGATTAGGCAAATACTTTGAATACTATAGATAAAAACACCAACTGAAACCCCCCAAAAAACACAAAATATTTTTCGGGTGCCGAGTACCGCTACCTATATTTTACCAATTTGTAGTTTATAAACTATTCATATAGTTTATAAACTATTCTATAATTTATAGGATCTCATTTCCGATTCTGTTTGGTATGACTTGCTTTTATCTCTCGTGAAGATGTTGATCAGTATCCGTGGGTCTGTAGATCAGTGAAAGTAGTTGTGACCAGTAGCAGTGGTTAGTGACCAGTGGCAATGGTTAGTGACCAGTGGCAGTGGTTAGTGACCAGTGGCAGTGGTTAGTGACCAGTGGCAGTGGTTAGTGACCAGTGGCAGTGGTTAGTGACCAGTGGCAATGGTTAGTGACCAGTGGCAGTGGTTAGTGACCAGTGGCAGTGGTTAGTGACCAGTGGCAGTGGTTAGTGACTAGTGGCAATGGTTAGTGACCAGTGGCAGTGGTTAGTGACCAGTGGCAGTGGTTAGTGACCAGTGGCAATGGTTAGTGACCAGTGGCAGTGGTTAGTGACCAGTGGCAGTGGTTAGTGACCAGTGGCAGTGGTTAGTGACCAGTGGCAGTGGTTAGTGACCAGTGGCAATGGTTAGTGACCAGTGGCAGTGGTTAGTGACCAGTGGCAGTGGTTAGTGACCAGTGGCAGTGGTTAGTGACTAGTGGCAATGGTTAGTGACCAGTGGCAGTGGTTAGTGACCAGTGGCAGTGGTTAGTGACCAGTGGCAATGGTTAGTGACCAGTGGCAGTGGTTAGTGACCAGTGGCAGTGGTTAGTGACCAGTGGCAGTGGTTAGTGACCAGTGGCAGTGGTTAGTGACCAGTGGCAGTGGTTAGTGACCAGTGGCAGTGGTTAGTGACCAGTGGCAGTGGTTAGTGACCAGTGGCAGTGGTTAGTGACCAGTGGCAGTGGTTAGTGACCAGTGACTGTGATTGGTGCCAACCATCAGAGATTGGTTCAGTAACAACCCTCAGTGCCTAGTTCAGTGCCAGTGATGGTTCCATTACATCGATTTCCATGTCCTTAACAATACAATATACAGTGTTTCAAGTTCAGCTTATCTTCCTTTGTGTTATTATTATTTCTATATTTCCTTCTTGTCCAATTCCCAATATCTCTTTATCTTCTTGTTTATTTTCCTACGTGTCTCTCTCTTGCCTTTTCATTGTAATGTTGTTAGCCACTCAAAGGAACCCGCTTGTTGCCTGTAACTCAATTGGTTACTTAAAAGGCCAACGTTGTGTTAGATTATAGCATAATGCACATCATATTATCGTCTATATTTGCCTTTTATGTTATACCTTTCTGAGCTATTTTGTGTGAAAAGTTACGAGTATCTTTATGTAATTTAATTTAACAGGTAATTACAGTATCAGCAGTTAATAATTAACACAGTTGTTTTCACTAATTCAGCATATGAATAATAATGGTTAATTATATTTTTATTTTAAAAATATAAAATGATAATAAACAGTGGTTTAATAATTGGTATAAACGTTTGAATATTTAATAAAACCACTAATACACAAGGCACTTCAGTTAGTGTCTACTGAATCGACTAAATGCTTGGGATGGAATCGAAACATTTCCTAGGATATGTAAATGTTTAGGATCTGTGAACGTTTAGGATCTGTGAACGTTTTGAATATGTAAATGTTTAGGATCTGTGAACGTTTTGAATATGTAAATGTTTAGGATCTGTGAACGTTTTGAATATGTAAATGTTTAGGATCTATAAATGGTTATAATCTCTAAACGTTTAGGATCTATAAACGTTTAGAATCTTTAAACGTTTAGGATCTTTAAACGTTTAGGATCTTTAAACGTTTAGGATCTGTCTGTCTATCTGTTTAGGACAGCCAGGATCTCTGTCAAATCCTCCATCACAGGTCTCGAAGAAGGTGTAACAGCTGTCAGAGGTTTAGCAGGTGTCAAACAAGGTGTAACAGGTATTGGAGAAGATATCACCAGTGTAACACATGTTGGAGAAGCTATGGAAATCATGCTCAGCCATCACCATCAAGCAAAACTCGAAGATACATGACTTAGAGCCCCTCTTCGATACGAGATTCATCGACATATCAGTCCAAATCCTGCCTCACGTCAGCTTTATCAACTCGTAGCGATGCATAAGCAGCTTAACGTGCCCTAGGCAGCTTTAGCCGTGTCATGGAGCCAAGTTGACCCAAGCGATAACACCTGTGGCCCCCCCACGATAACCAATCTCCGCTTGGCATCGCCACCGACGCCCAGATCGATAACAAATTTGTGGGATATTGCGGTCATATTTTTCTTTTGGTGTGAGGCTCTGGTGGCCAGGTTATTCTGCCTTGTGTAACAGGGTCAAAGACAGTGTTACAGGTGTCGAGGAAGGTCGAACAGGTGTCCATCAATGTGTAACAGGTGTGTGGAGGACAACGGAGCTGGTGCTGAAGATGTAGCAAGTATTCAAGCAGGTGTAAACAGGTATCGAAGGTTAAACAGGTGTCGAAGAAGGTGTAAAAGATGTTGGAGGTGTAACACGTGTCAAGTAGTTGTAACAGGTATTGGAGAAGATGTCACAGGCGTAACAGATGTTGATGAAGATGAAGAACAGTTGTCAAGCAAGATGTAACAGGAGACAGAAAAGGTGAAACAGGAGACAGAGAAGGTGAAATAGGAGACAGAAAAGGTGAAACAGGAGACAGAGGTGAAACAGGAGACAAAGAAGGTGAAACAGAAGACAGAGAGGGTGAAACAGAAGACAGAGAAGGTGAAAAAGAAGACAGAGAATGTGAAACAGGAGACAAAGAAGATGAAACAGAAGACAGAGAAGGGGAAACAGGAGACAAAGGTGAAACAGGAGACAGAGAAGGTGAAACAGGAGACAGAGAAGGTGAAACAGGAGACAGAGAAGATGAAACAGGAAACAGAGAAGGTGAAACAGGAGACAGAGAAGGTGAAACAGGAGACAGACAAGATGAAACAGGAGACAAAGAAGGTGAAACAGGAGACAAAAGGTGAAACAGGAGACAGAGAAGATGAAACAGGAGACAAAGAAGGTGAAACACGAGACAGAGAAGGTGAAACAGGAGAAAGAGAAGATGAAACAGGAGACAGAGAAGGTGAAACAGGAGACAGAGAAGGTGAAACAGGAGACAGAGAAGGTGAAACAGGAGACAGAGAAGATGAAACAGGAGACAAAGAAGGTGAAACAGAAGACAGAAGGTGAAACAGGAGACAGAGAAGGTGAAACAGGAGACAGAGAAGGAAGCAATACAGTCGCCCTTGAGGTGACTGTCTCCCTGTGCCATTAGCAGGGCTTGAGAGCCTTGCGCAGTCCACCGGTTAAGGGGATGACGATATGCCCCTATTAAACCCCCCATTCTGTGGCTGCTGCTGCTGCTCCTGATGATATTATCGAGCTTTAGGATACTGGTTTGTCTTGTGTTCAAGTCGGGTTCAGCGCTGCTTTGGCTATTCTCTCACGTTCCTGCTTTTAATGGCAATATCGTTTGTTCGGTGTACAATGATGCTCATTTTTTTGGCCGCATCTTTAAATGATTCTGTTAAGAGAATTGCTATTTCAGTCCTCCCGGTACTTCTGTTGCTGGTAACGCTGTTGTTGTTCATGGCATTTCTGTTGCTGGTGATTCTGTTGTGGTTCCTGGCACTTCTGTTGCTGGTGACTCTGTTGTCGTTCCTGGCACTTCTGTTGCTGGTGACTCTGTTGTGGTTCCCGGCACTTCTGTTGCTGGTGACTCTGTTGTGGTTCCCGGCACTTCTGTTGCTGGTGACTCTGTTATGGTTCCCGGCACTTCTGTTGCTGGTGACTCTGTTGTGGTTCCTGGCACTTCTGTTGCTGGTGACTCTGTTGTGGTTCCTGGCACTTCTGTTGCTGGTAACGCTGTTGCTGTTCCTGGCACTTCTGTTGCTGGTGACTCTGTTGTGGTTCCCGGCACTTCTGTTGCTGGTAACGCTGTTGTTGTTCCTGGCACTTCTGTTGCTGGTGACTCTGTTGTTGTTCCTGGCACTTCTGTTGCTGGTGACTCTGTTGTGGTTCCTGGCACTTCTGTTGCTGGTAACGCTGTTGTTGTTCCTGGCACTTCTGTTGCTGGTGACTCTGTTGTGGTTCCCGGCACTTCTGTTGCTGGTGACTCTGTTGTCGTTCCTGGCGGTCTCGCTGCTGAGGCGCTCATCATTCTGTATAATTATGTCGTCTGATGTCGCAATTTGTATTCCACTCGCTGTAATTACCGTTACCTGAGACTCTCACTCTACCTGTTAGAGTGTTCTTTCCTGTTCCCCCATCTTTATTGACCCCTTTTCTCCATCTTTCCCTCCCCCATTTTTTTACCCTTTCTCTTGTGTTCATCCTTTGTTTATTAATCCTTCCCTCATTCGTTCTCTCTCTTCTTCCGTGTCTCCCTTCTATCTTCCCTCCTTCTGTGTCTCCATTCTTCTGTGTCTCCTTCCTATCTTCTCTCCCTCTCTGTCTCCCTCCTTTAGTCCATCCCTATTACGTTATTTCTTTCGTAATGTATCAATATATTCACTAAGGGGATATCCGGCGTTGCCCGGGTCTATCTGTCTCTATATATCCTCTATCTAAATCTATCCATCAGTATTTATCCATCTGTATATGTCCATCTATTTATCTATTCACCTATCTATTCATCTATCATGACCGGAACGCCATAACATGCACCGATAGATGCACGTCATGGTTTGCCACGATAGATGTTGCCTCACAATGAGGATAGCATCGCTAGCAGTATTCCTGTTGTTCACTATCACTATCTCTCACTATCGTTGCTCACTATCTGCAACTGACAGTCAATATCAGTGTCATAATCACTCTCACTATCAGTTGCTGTTCCCTCTTCCGTTCACTCTCCCAGCGTCAACTGTATTATTACCATCAGAATTAAACTCTTCAGCTCAATTCTCACAAATATTTCAATTGCGTAAACAACAGGAGTAACTGCGTCACAGGATCATCAGTCGCGAGATTATAGAACAGAAGTAGCTGTCGATTCAGCAGCAAGAGAAGTGACCTCATCACAGCAACAGTAGCAAGAGAAGTGACCTCATCACAGCAACAGTAGCAACAAGAGAAGTGACCTCATCACAGCAACGGCAGCAAGTCCTTCAACGGTAACAACAGGAGGCGGTCGTGCAATAAGGTACAAGCCTGAACGACCACGCAGATGAGCACGCCATCATGATTGATGCTCGAGCGACGGAGCTGGAGACTTTCCACACCTGCACCAGGGGGGTGACAGTCCCCCACCACCACCACTACGGTCTTCAGGTCCCCACTATCACCAGGAACTGACTGTTCCTCCCTCCCCCAACCACTCCGAACACCAACTATTTAACTAGTCTTGTAACCCGTTCTCTAATCTTATCCACCAAGACAAGGAAAAATTTTCTCTGAAATTTCTCGGTATATTTTGAAGTCCCAGGTATATGCTATGGGAGATTCTCTTGTTATATTTTGCAAACATGTATAGAAAATCTCTCAAAGTTGATGGGATATCTTTATTACCCGAATTTATTGTTGGATAGCATTATTCATCAAATTTAAAGTACCCAAATACCCGGCATTCATCATGAGTGAGAAAGAAAAGATGAATATTAATTTGCAATGTGTTGATGAGAATGGAAAGGTTGCTACTTGGGGAGCAGGAAGCAAAGACTCCTCCCCACTCATCGAGAAAGCAAGACGCAAAGACTCCACCCCCTTCACATGAAGCAAGAAGCAAAGACTCCACCCCACTCATATGAAGCAAGAAACAAAGACTCCACCCCACTCATATGAAGCCAGAAACAAAGACTCCACCCCACTCATATGAAGCCAGAAACAAAGACTCCACCCCACTCATATGAAGCAAGAAACAAAGACTCCACCCCACTCATATGAAGCAAGAAACAAAGACTCCACCCCACTCACATGAAGCAAGAAGCAAAGACTCCACCCCACTGATATGGAGCAAGAAACAAAGACTCCACCCCACTCATATGAAACAAGAAGCAAAGACTCCATCCCACTCACATGAAGCAAGAAACAAAGACTCCACCCCACTCACATGAAGCAAGAAGCAAAGACTCCACCCCACTAGCCGGCATACCAGTATCACCAACAATAAAAACCCAAAGTATGATAGTATAAGGGGGTGGGGGTGGGGAAAGACTTGAAACAAAAGAAGAGATGCAGAAGGGAATCCAATCCCATTCAATTTTATGGCATAGCGTCCAGTTCTCGGCAGAGTGGGTCCTATTCCCCTTTCCACACCCTACTTGATCCTCCTCAGATCTCTCAGTTATGACCCTCTATGAATCCATTGGTCCGAAGAGCCCGCCAAATGTAGGTTCTTGTGTTATTGCTAGTGACTGGACTCACCTAGATCTGTACTCGCAGGGAGTCGAGATTTAGCTCTTGAATCTCGCATTTCAACTTTCAGTCAACGGGTGTACAGGAACCTGATCTCTCCCTCTCCCTTTGGGTTCTGTTATATGTTTAATCAATATATATCTGGTTGTGTGTGTACGTGCCTGTACGTACATGTTTGTGGGTGTACTTAGAGGCATTTGCACGAACGAAGTCACGCACATATGCGTTAGAACTATGTTCTGTAAATAAAAATCAATATCAATAATTATACATCTTCAATTCCTATTGCATACATATCTTACTGAACATCAGAGAAGGCGGTTAGATCAACGATTCCATCACGAATCTTTCCTTATATTTCTTATGTTCTTTACTTGAGAAGGAAAGTTGAAAACATTAACTCTCCAAAGACCATTTTTCAGTTGTATATAGTCTGACGCTATTCAATGGTGTGAATACATATTAGTGTGAACAAACGCTTACATAACGAGAAAGGATGAGGTGAATTAAGACGAATGGGCCAGTAGGCTGTCTGTAGTTCCCAAACTCCTGTATTGTGTTGCTTACTGTGGGTGTGTGTGCTGTGTTGCTACTGACTGTGGGTGTGTGTTGTGTTGCTACTGACTGTGGGTGTGTGCTGTGTTGCTACTGACTGTGGGTGTGTGCTGTGTTGCCGCCTGTGGGTGTGTGCTGTGTTGCTACTGACTGTGGGTGTGTGTTGTGTTGCTACTGACTGTGGGTGTGTGCTGTGTTGCTACTGACTGTGGGTGTGTGCTGTGTTGCCGCCTGTGGGTGTGTGTGCTGTGTTGCTACTGACTGTGGGTGTGTGCTGTGTTGCTACTGACTGTGGGTGTGTATTGTGTTGCTTACTGTGGGTGTGTGTGCTGTGTTGCTACTGACTGTGGGTGTGTGTTGTGTTGCTACTGACTGTGGGTGTGTGCTGTGTTGCTACTGACTGTGGGTGTGTGCTGTGTTGCTACTGACTGTGGGTGTGTATTGTGTTGCTTACTGTGGGTGTGTGTGCTGTGTTGCTACTGACTGTGGGTGTGTGTTGTGTTGCTACTGACTGTGGGTGTGTGTTGTGTGGCTGCCTGTGGGTGTATGCTGTGTTGCTACTGACTGTGGGTGTGTGTTGTGTTGCTACTGACTGTGGGTGTGTGTTGCTACTGACTGTGGGTGTGTGTTGCTACTGACTGTGGGTGCGTGTTGCTACTGACTGTGGGTGTGTGTTGCTACTGACTGTGGGTGTGTGTTGCTACTGACTGTGGGTGCGTGTTGCTACTGACTGTGGGTGTGTGTTGCTACTGACTGTGGGTGTGTGTTGCTACTGACTGTGGGTGTGTGCTGTGTTGCTACTGACAGTGGGTGTGTGTTGTGTGGCCGCCTGTGGGTGTGTGCTGTGTTGCTACTGACTGTGGGTGTGTGTTGTGTTGCTACTGACTGTGGGTGTGTGTTGCTACTGACTGTGGGTGTGTGTTGCTACTGACAGTGGGTGTGTGTTGCTACTGACAGTGGGTGTGTGCTGTGTTGCTACTGACAGTGGGTGTGTGTTGTGTGGCCGCCTGTGGGTGTGTGCTGTGTTGCTACTGACAGTGGGTGTGTGTTGTGTGGCCGCCTGTGGGTGTGTGCTGTGTTGCTACTGACTGTGGGTGTGTGTTGTGTTGCTACTGACTGTGGGTGTGTGTTGTGTTGCTACTGACTGTGGGTGTGTGTTGCTACTGACTGTGGGTGTGTGTTGCTACTGACTGTGGGTGCGTGTTGCTACTGACTGTGGGTGTGTGTTGCTACTGACTGTGGGTGTGTGTTGCTACTGACTGTGGGTGTGTGCTGTGTTGCTACTGACAGTGGGTGTGTGTTGCTACTGACTGTGGGTGTGTGTTGCTACTGACTGTGGGTGTGTGCTGTGTTGCTACTGACAGTGGGTGTGTGTTGCTACTGACTGTGGGTGTGTGTTGCTACTGACTGTGGGTGTGTGTTGCTACTGACTGTGGGTGTGTGTTGCTACTGACTGTGGGTGTGTGTTGCTACTGACTGTGGGTGTGTGTTGCTACTGACTGTGGGTGTGAGTGCTGGAGAGTCTGTATTGGTGCTGATGGCGTTAGCAAGTATCCGAGTGTGTGAGCTGTTTTGTTAATACTATTTATTATTTCTGTTGTATAGTCTGACACAAATCGTCTCTGAGGATGGACACGGAGCTGTTGTCCGAACGTGCATACATTATACATTCTCCATTCAACTGTGGTTACTTCGCATAAATAAATAAATAAATACGGAATTCAATCTATTCAAATAATATATTAATATATATAGAAACGTATTATCTATTTATGTAAATGAATATATATATTGGCTGAAATTATCAGCATTTTTTGGGAAAAATCTCTTATTTACCACGTATGGATATTGAGATATTAAAGAAAATCAAAGATCCCAACACAATTTATTACATCCTAAAACTGCTACCATAAGCGGTTTCCTGAGATCAATTCCGAAATACCTAACAACAGTAAAACCCATTACATAAAACACCAAGCTAAAATACCGCCAGAATACGAAGGTTTATTAAAAAAAACTTTAAAGATTGAATAATAATTCCCAGGGAGGCAAAGCAATATCTGAAGACTACTGAAGGGTGTAAGCGAATTTACCGAGTGATAAATAATGTCTCGGTCGCCAGAACAGGTTAACAGGGGCAGTAAACAGGAATCATCTAATCTTACATCCCAAGAGTTAAACGGAGAGGAACAGGAGATGGGGGGGATGCTCCCTTGATCCAATAGAAACACCCAAGACCCATCTCAAGGGACTTGGAACACTTTGTCTTCAA